AAATTGCCCTGAACTGCCTGCTCTTCAAACTGTCATTTCCACAATTCAAATGTGAACCATTTCATCCCCTTCCTACACAACAGAACAAAACCATTTGGATAATTCTGAAGAGCCAACGTGCCAAGATGCTGCTTATTGCTCTCCACCCCAGGGGTTTCAAGCTAAACCCCAGCCCACTTTTCACCCCAAAATTATTAACAAAACGTTTAATTGATGAGCAGAGAGCTGGCCCTTCATCTGGGAATCCTCTGATTGAGCCCTGTACTTAAAAAAAAAGCAAAAATGTGCTTTGTGCTCTGGGGAAATACTGCTTCAATAGGAGCTGATGGCTTGCCCTGGTCACAGCACCACAAGAATGTGTTCCCAGCCAGCTCAGAGAGAGAAATGCTCCAGGAAAAGAAGGGAGCAGAGCTGTGAAGTCCCGCTGGCAGCAGAGCAGGGGAGGCCAAGGGGCTGTTGCACAAGCAGCACGGCTGCTTTGGGGGCTGCTTGTTGGTTCTTTGCAGAAACAAAACAGGAAATGGCATAAAAAGTCCTGTTAAGGGTGAATTCCCCGAAATTATTATGGCAGGAGCAAACACAGGCGAGCACAAAGCGAGTGATATTCCCAGGAAATCTGAGTCACCGCGATATAGAACGGTACTGAGGGACAAACAACWAAGTTTTCAGTAATAAACAGCTCAGCAACATAAATTATTTAATTCCTTTGTCCAAACCCYCTGGGAACAGGCAGAGTGGCTGCTCCCTGCTTTGATTCGTGCCACACTTGTTTGTCACACGGTGCATTTGTGTCTGGCACAGCTTGAACCTGCTCAATGAAAGTAATTACAGGGACGAGGGGCTGAGATTGCGAGAGCGAGCGCTCCCAGGACTCCGCGCTCCCTTCATTAGCCACCAGCTCGCCCTGCTGAGCTCAGGCAGCCCCTGGGCTGCTGAAACCTCTCCACTGCCCACTCCCTCCTCCCACGCCTCTACAAAAACACTTTCCAGCCTGAGGATGCTCTTCCTTGTCCTCTCTCAATTTCCGTTCCCTGCTTTTTCCAAAATGAGAGGAAACGAGGGAAGCTAATGGAGGAATAAACTACCAGCCCATAAAGGATAAACTATCAACTCTCCATGGCTGGGAGAGCTTTTAATGGCTTGARTTAGAGAGGTATTAGTTTGTAAATCATGTTAAAGCATGGTGATGGCCACAGACCATCCAAAGCCGGGAACTTCTCCCAGTCTTTACCCAGTGATGCTTTAGGATTTCAGTTTCTCTATTTCCATGTCTCWSTAVCYCTGGRATTCTYCAGTGTTTAACTCCAGACTCCACAGACAGTGCTGAGCTCCTGCTCTCCCATTTTTACACAAAACAATTCCTCTGMAGCCCCAAACTCAAGGACACCTCCCTGGGCCAGGCCCCAAGARATGGAAACAASAGAGAATTGGGGGGAGCCAAGTTGGAGTTTTTGACTGCATTGGCTGCAGCTGCAATTGGAGGATTCAGCCCCGATTTTGTGCAAATGGACAAAAGTGAGAAAGGGTGAAAAACCTGGGACTGAGTGTCCATTGTGGGTGTGGGACTGCCATGGATGGCCCTGAAGGCCCTGCAATAACAGAACTGCTTTGGATTCTCTCAATTCTGTCCAGGTCCTGTTTTGGGGAGCCGGATTTCAGGCACCACCAGCACCCAAACCCCACATCCAAGGGTGATCACAACCCACCCCAGCCCACCCCAAACCCTGCTGTGCCCTTCCAGAGCAATCACTCACTTGCTGGAGTTCATGATGTATCCCGAGGGGCACTCGTGCACGCACTCGTTGTTGTGGATGACGTGGCAGCCCGACTCGCGGGCGCTCCGGCATTTGTTGTGCAGCTCCTGGCAGAAGGCRAAGGTGACRCAGCGCCAGCCCTCGAATCGATAGTACCCAGGGGGACAGCTGGGGACACATCTCCCCTCCAGGTAGAAGTTTCGGCAGGCCACACACTTGCCAGGGTCRTCGGGCTCCGTGCAGTCGCCCAGGCACTCGCTGTGGCAGCACTGCCCGTCCCCGGTGCAGCCCTGGGAYTTGCAGGCGGGGGGACACACTGGAGAGGGGAAAAACAGCAAAGGGCAGGTGAGAGACATGGGAGAGCATGGTCATGAGCGACCCTGAGAGCTGAGGGGATGGGGGACCTGGTGCTGCTGCCTTGGGAAGTTCCTCGGAAAAGGAGCAACAGGTCTCTGCCCCATCTCCAGCTGTCAGTGCAAATTCTGCCCCATCTCCACCTTTCCCTACAAATTCTGCCTTATCTCCACCTTTCACCACAAATTCTGCCTTATCTCCACCTTTCACTACAATTTCTGCCCCATCTCCACCTTTCAGTGCAAATTCTGCCTTACCTCCATCTTTCAGTGCAAATTCTGCCCCGTCTCCACCTTTCAGAGTAAATTCTACACCATCTCCACCTTTCCCTACAAATTCTGCCTCATCTCCATCTTTCATTACAATTTCTGCCCCATCTCCACCTTTCAGGATAAATTCTGTCTCATCTCCATCTTTCAGTAAAAATTCTGCCCCATCTCCATCTTTCAGTGTGAATTCTGCCTCATCTCCACCTTTCAGAGAAAATTCTGCCCCATCTCCACCGTTCACAAGAAATTTTGCCTCACCTCCACTTGTCAGTGGAAAGCCTGGCCCATCTCCACCTTTCAGAGTAAATWCTGCCTCGTCTCCATTTTTCAGTGTACCTCCTACACTTTAGGAATGTTTTTGAGGAGTTTTATCATTCACCATCCCATCTGAGCTGCTTGGGTGCTCCCTCAGACAGAACATTCTGGTTTGGTGAGGACAAGGCGATACCCTGAGCTGCATCTTGGCTGTGCAGAGCTAAATCCCAAATGTTTTTAGGATAAATCCAGGACCCTATCCCCCATCTAAAGCCCTTCCTCTCCTTCTAAAGCCCTACTTGGTGTTGGGGTTTGCCCATTTCAGCTCTGCTCTCTCTCCTGATGGCAGTCAGTGCCGTGTTCTGGGTTGTGGAGTTGGATTGAATGGGTTCAGCTTTGTCTGAGCTGCTCAGTGGAGGTGCTGAGGACAGGGCTGACCATCCCCCTGGAGCTCCCTGAATCTGTTCACCCTTCTCTCCCGCTCCTCCCCGAGTTACTCATAGGGTTTACTCATCCCAGCTTCCACCTCCAAGCCCAAACCGCTCGTTAAAGGCGTTGTGGGGTGCTAAGTAATGAGCAATTAAAAAAGAAACCATAAAAACCTCAAGCAATAACACTCGTGGGTGCCCTGCTTTGTGAGCT